GTACTATAGAAGAGGTTCTAGTAGTTCCGGCTACTAGTACTATTAGATATATATAATACGTACCTCGTTTAATAGCGAGGGTGCTATTAAATAACCTTACAAATAGGGATAGTTAATCGTTTATAGATAAGCTATTACGGGCTTAGTAGAGGGACGCCTTTGCTAATAAACGTATTAATAGGCTTGTAAGTAGACGAACGACTCGATCTAGTAAGAGTAATAATTAGTCGATCGACGACAAGGGTTACTTAAAGTTTAAGGGTAGATACTATATCCCCGCTAAACAATCGATTAAATAAGAGCTTTTAAAGCGATACTATAATAGTAAGCTTGCTAGTTACTATAGTATAGAGAGGTCGTACGAGCTACTATCGCGTATATACTACTAGCCGAATAGTAAACGGCATATAAAAGAATACGTACAGACCTACGTAGTATACTAGCGTATTAAAGCACTAAAGCACTTGCTATTTAGCGAGTTGTCTTTACTTCCTATTCCTAGGAAGCTATTCGTAGAACTTATAATAGATTTTATTATAGGCCTTCCTCCTACTAAGCGTAGGGGTAGCAAGGATATATATAATACTATCCTTATTATAGTAGATCGATTTACTAAAGGCGCTCGATATATCCCGGCGCGGAAAGATTAGACTGCTATTAATATAGTAGAAGCGCTATAGAATAATATCTTCTATACCTATTAGGGAACCCCTAAAGGGATAGTATCTAATCGTAGATCGATACTAATATCGCACTATTAGAGCGAAATATGCCTATAGCTAAGACTAAAGCATCGGCTATTAACAGCCTTCTACCTATAGACTAACGGTTAAATAGAGAGGCAAAATGCTACCCTATAGTAGTACCTACGTAGCTATATTAATAAGAACCCCGAGGATTGGGTTAACCTCCTACAACCTATAGAATTCGTATATAACAATAGTATATACTTATTAACTAAGGTTTTACTATATATAGCTATAATAGGCTAAAACGCTGCCTTACTATAAGATCTATTTACCTCGCTCGAGGCCGAGCGTAAGGAAAGGGAAGCGCGTTAAGTACTAGAAATACTAGCGGTAATAGAACGTGTCTAGAAGATGCGAGAAATCTATGCTAAGATAGCTAAGAAGCTAACAAAGGCTTAAGAGTACTCAAAGACCTACTACGATAAGCGCTATATACTAATAGCCTTTAAGCAAGGCGATATAGTTATACTTAGTACGAAGAACCTCCGCATCCGCAAACACCTATTACCTAATAGTAAAACAAGGCCTAAGCTCGTACTAAGATATATTAGCCTATTCCGCATCCGAGAGGCTAAGGGTATATAGGCCTACTAGTTGTAGCTTCCTCCTTATTATACTATCTATAATACCTTCTATATATCCCTTCTTAAACTATACTACTAGCGCGAAGGCAATAAAGCGCCTGCTAAGTTAGGAGAAGTCTTAGCTAATAGTAAAGAGCTATAGTCTATAGAACGTATCCTAAAGCATCGAACTAGGTAGGGCAAGAAGGAGTACCTATTAAGATAGCAAGGCTATTTACCTAAATAGGACTCGTAGGAAGCTAAAGGCTCCTTTAAGGATATAGCTAAGTTGTTAGACGAGTATTAGACTAGTATAAAGAACAAGAAGAAGGCTAAGGGCCTATAATATTACTAGAAAGGCCTAGGATTAATAACACCCCCGGGGTGCTATTAGCTAACTAATTAGAGGCAAGATAATTATTAGTAAGGGACTACAAGACTACACTACTATAGTAAATACGTACCGAGTGTTAATAAGCGCACTATAACGCGTTAACTATTCGCCGCTCTTTTAAGGAATCTACCTCTTTACTAGCGTACCCTATAAGACCCTTCTTTTAACGCCCCCTCTTATTCCTACGTTCTATCGAGGCTCTAAGGCCTAGGCGGTCGGCGAAGGCAGCGCGCGTATAGACGAATAGTGCTAGCAATAGTAATAATAGCGCCGTAGTACGAGTTAGCGGTATACCGAAAGGCGGCGCGGCTATATTAGTAATAGTATTACTAAGTGTATTGCTAGTTAAAGAAGGAAAGGAAGAATAAGGTAAAGTTAGAGCTAAGGCGGCTAGCGCCGCTATTATTAACGTTACCTACTCGCTACTATTATTAACCTTACTTGTTATCCTTACTATACCTATAAGAACAACCTTACCTATACTATAGCCTAAGGCTAAAACGCACTATACTAACTAGGTTAAAAAGGTTAAGCTATTCGAAGGGCTTAGGGACTAAAAAGGTTAAGCGATTAATAGACTAGCTAAGGGCAAAAATATAGAGCTAAGCTAGCCGGGATCGATCTTACGGACAATAGGTTACTCCTCGATCTTTCCGACCCTTTAAGCGAGGCGAACCTTAACTATTGCACTTATAATAGCCTTTATCTATAGAAACTAGACGAACTGCGTTTTAAAAAGATAAGATTAATTAACAATTAAAGGCTACTAAACCTAACTAATTAGGGCTAGCGAAACTACGATAGTAAATAATAGCCCTTATAAAAATAAGAACAACCCTCGGAAGCGGACAATTCTAGGTCTTTTAGAGTAGACGCAAAGAACTCGGTATAACATTACTTAGAACGGAGGCAGTGCTATAATACCTCGTACGCCTACCTATTATAGTAGGGAAGACGCGCTTATATTATAATTATCCGATAGCCCTTAATTCTAGTAGATGTGTATTACTTTATTATATATAAGGATAGCGCAGTTAGAGTTAGATATTATATTAGAAGGTGAGGTTTAATATAGTTATATAATTAGGTAGTTAAGTATTTAATTTAGCGCGGGCTAAGCAGCTTATTAGACTTGCTAAGTTAGTAGTAATAGAGGTTAAGATTAGAATATAGACAGGCTACGAGGGCGTAGCCTTTAGAAGGGAAGCGTATATTAGGGCTAAAGAGGCTATACGTAATTAGCATATAACTAGACCGAGTAAAGCTAAGGTCTTAGTGCCTTAGGTAGGGCTTGGCGCTTAGTACTAGGCTAACTAGCCTGCCTTCCTCCTTCTCCTCCTAGATCCTTATCGAATACTACTATACCTATTACTACCCTATCTACCTGCTAATATAACCCCTATTACAAGGATGCCCTTCTAATAGCGACGACTTTATTATATCTAGTACCTATTGCAATAGTAGCTCGTAGTAGGAATAAATACTGCCTAAAAATTAAAGCGACTAGGGTAGTTAATAATATTATAGTTAGATCTACTATTATAGATTAGGCTAACAAAGGGGTTCTATTTCTTGCCCCTATTTATAGCTATTAACAGATAAGTAGTTAGTATAAGGGTAACTAAGGCGAAGGCTAATAGGTCTAGAGTATTAGGTTTAAAGAAGTAGGCTAGTAAGTCTTTTCCTAATCTATTGCCTATTCTAGTATTATCTCTATTATTAGAAGAAGACCTATAGTATTGCTATACAATCTTCTAGGCTAATAGATCCTTAAAGAATTTAGCTTAGTTAAGGCAGAATCCCTTATTCTTCTATAGATAGGCTTCGAAGAACTTTAACTTAGCCTTCTACTTACTATCCTTATCCTTCCCTTTAATCTTATCGCGTAGTCGATAGTTAATAACTATATACTTACTACGGCTATTATAGGCCTTCTTCTCGCTAACTCTAGTAAGCTTAGTATAGGACTTAGCTTTGCGCTTCCTATCTTTAGTAGTACTAGTACCCTAAATAGTACTAGTACCCTATAGTATAGTATTAGAGGTACTGTCTTCTTTATATACTATGCCGAATAAAGATCTCTTTCTTAAAGTTATTCGACTTATATTACGAGCGTAATCTCCTACTATATTAAATAGTTGCTAGAAGTTGTTAACCGTTAGTCCTACCTAATATATTATATAGAGGCCCTTACTATAGCTTTTATCTATATTAGCGACTATAGTATATAGGTAAGTTACTAAGTAATTAAATTCCGGGTACTATATACGTTTTATAGTCTTATCAGGATTAAGCTATTTCTCGTACTAGTACTCGGGGTTCTATACCTACTTAGAATTTATAAGGCGGTATAGCTCCTTACTAAGAGTAGTTCTTTACTATTAAGTATTAGGTACGAGCTTGTCCTTTAATCGAATTAGGATAAGCCGTATAGTTAGTACTATATTGTCTATATTAGAATTAGTAATCTCTAAGTAATAGTAGATATCTATAGTTATTGCTAGATATTTAATTGTCTTATTACGTACAATCCTAAAGCGTTTAAACTCTGTCTTCCTTGTATTAAAGTGTCCCTTAGTAAGCTTTATACTAGCCTAATATAGGGGGTTAGTTATTAGTTGCTATATGTCGAAATCCGGGAGAAGGGGTTATACTAGTTTAGTAGGCTCGGTCGAGTACGGATTAGTAAAGACCTAGGTCTTATATCTAGTTAGGTACGACTTAGTTTACTTAAACTAAAGATCCTATTTATTAGGTCTACGAAGGATAATTAGCTTACTACTACTAAGGCGGTTACTAGCTAAGAGAGATAGAGCAGATAGGGGTAGTTCTATATAATTATAGAGACCTTAACCTAATACTAATTAATATTCTATAGGTTAACTATACTAAAGAACTCGTCTTATTTTAAATTTTGCTAAGGAAGTCTCTAATTACGAGTAAACCTAGGCTTATAACTATTACGCTTAGTATAGTAGATTACGTACGTAATACTATATTATTAAGAGCGCTTGTTTAATAAGTAAGTAATTATATTAGTTATATTCTATCTGTTCTATAGTCTAAAAACAGTGTGAGAATGCTTTCTTATGCTAAGAAGTCATATAATAATCATGTGACTGAGCTGGTGCGTCACAACTCGGCGATGCCCGTCCGCTTTCCTACGCTCCCGTCCCTGCTACTTCTAACTTCTAACCGTTCTGACATGCACCTCGTAAACAGACATCACCTTCACATCCTCGGCCGAATCTGTTACTGAACAGTACCTTGCGAATAGCTCACGCCACACTCAATATGCCACTCAGCCTAATTGAGACTCGCTCTATGCGACGGCAAAAGGAAAGCGATATGCGTTACCGACAAGCAGCAGCCCACCGACAATCACCAGCCAAGTGCCCGTTCTCGATGATGGGCCTGCCCCCTGAGCTTCGACTCATGATCTATCGACACTCCCTAACTCCGAAGAGCTCAAAGTTCCTGGTGCACTTTCAAAAAGACGGTTTCCAACATCACAATGATGAGCTTGAGCACATCTCCCGCGTGTGGCCGATGAATTTGATGCTCGCCTCGAAGAAAATTCACCGCGAAATGAGAGATACCTGGAGCTGGTTCGTCAAGATCTCGACCTTTGTCTTTCTCATCGACTTCTCATCCTCGGAGGCCATCGAGCGCGGCCACGAGTTGATGACGAAGACTTCATCACGGCTTCTGGACAATCCGCCATTCTCATCGTACCCTGGCGCCCCGGATATCAAGATTGGCCTTCATACTATCACGACTGTGTCCACGACTACCGAGACGACGTACGAGGACAACCTGCTACGGTGGGCTCGTATGCTCCGCGACGGCAAACTCAAGGTTGAACGCATCAGCCTAGAAAGCCACTTTGCGACTGGAAGCACCGGCCAATTGACCGACGTCCTTCAGACGGAGGATATAGAAGCGATTCGAGAGAAGGCTAGACGGCTTGCAATCGCCAACCCTGACGCACCGGAGAAAAATCTCAAAGCCATCATAGCTTTCGTCAAGGAGATCCACAGGGCTAATAAGTCGACTCGGCTGCAGATCCTGCAGTCACTCGGTCTAGCATAGATTGGGAGTATTGCATGCTCACTCAGTGCAAATCCTGCTGACTCGGCCCGAGAGACAAGAACCCAGATCCCGAACGGAGCCAGAAGCCATTCGCCCCTTCAGGTGAGTATCAATCACGTCTAGGTAGCGAGACAGAAGCTGACGTGTGTGCAGCATTCGGACAATGGGAGTTGTTCCCGATCAATTCGCTGGTCATCATCAGATGCGAATATCATGCACTCCAGACAGGCTTCTCCTACATCAAAGAGATCCCCCATCATCTATCATTCCGAATGTCATCTGGTCGTTGGCAGTCCTTCATAGCCAGCTACGTTCGTGAGCGAACACCTGAGGGCATTCGAGATCCTGGCTCGTCGCCATTCGATGTACCCATCACTTGAGCGACAGGCAATTGGAGTGCCCTCGTGAGCCATTTGGAGGAGCTGGCCGAACACTGGCTGAACTTCATCTACTCGGCAATGCATGGTAATCCTCGTGTCACTCATTTCATCTTCTATCACGTCTGCAATCCTGCCGCAATCCACCAGAGCATAGCTGCTCATCCCACGGACGGCGAATCATGCCGCATTGTAGTTCGCCAGATTATCCATAAGCCATTTTGAAACCTCCCGCAAGCATGTTCTGTATGTGTCATTTTCCTCGCGTTCTGACTGGCATATGAGATAGCAGTGCTCATGCTCAAAACGCAAGGGTGTCTATGAAAAAGAAGTAGTGGATGAATACTCTACCTCGGGTAATCGCAAAAGTGACCATGCATTGTGTAATCTCCGCGATTACATGTCCTAACCGCCACACTGGCGTCGGGATACCTGATGCCTTGTTATGAAGTTGTTGTCGCTTCCAAAGAGACCTCTGCCGGTGTCCGTATTGCCGAACCCGGGAGACTGCTGCTTGTTGACCAATCCGAAAAGGCTACCTGAAGCAGGCGCAGTGCTGGCAAAGCCGTGCAAGAGCCCGTCGTATGAATGTCCAGGGCCTAATAACAGCGGCCAGCTGAATACCGGCAAAGGAGAACCAAAAGGCTCGCCAGCGTTCTGCGAGCTAGCCGTCCTCCAACGCATGAAGACGTCCGATTCGCAAGGCCCTAGGCCTCATTAGTAGGGAAGAGAGCCACGCCACCCATAAAATGTCACCCGCCGCTGCAAGATCGTTGAATATTACCCCTCGGGCTTCTTTCCATCGCTGGCTTGACCGAAAACAGGTATAGCCTCGACCGGCAGCGGATAGTGCGCATGAGGAAGAAGGCGGCACGCAGATCATGTTTTGCGGTAACGACTGCCTTCGCAAGACCGCTGATCGCAATTCAGGTGTACAGTGGGAGGACCTTCGTGTTGGCAGCACTACAGCGAGCTTCGAGATAGGCCTTTGCAGCAAACCAGAGAATCGGTTTATGGCGCAGCAGAGCTGCAGAAGGCAATTCGGTGACGATGTGCTGCATGAAAGCATGAGGCTACCCAAAGCTGTCTCCAGTCCTAAGTATATTGAGAATGTCGAAGGACACTGTTTCGACAAGACTTTCGTGTTAGCTGCGGAATAGCGTGCTTCGAGACGGGCCTTCATAGTAAGAACTGTAATGCCGACTGTGAATCGGTCCTTGGCACAGCACATTTGTAGGAAGAAGTTCGGTAGTCATGTTCTGCATGAAATCATGAGCCTCCCCAAGGCTACCTCTAGTTGAGGGTGTTGACTGGGATTCTTTCGACAGGACTTCGGTATTGGCAGCAGCTCAACGTGCTTCCGGATGGGCTTTCATAGCAAGAGGTGCGATAAGGACTAGTGAATTCATTCCCGTCACAGCACAGGTGTAGAAAGGAGTTCGATAGTCATGCCCTGCATTCACCAAGGGTGGCACCAGTCGTCAGGATGTTAAACACATCGACTGAGATCACGCAAATCGTTCCGCCGAGCTCCATCAGTCGACTCGGGGCAGGCGATGATTTTGTCTGCCTCGGTGGGGTTATGGATGCTGGTGTCCCAATTCTGCAGCTGACCTTCGCCGCCGAGTACGCTTGAAATCGCGGTGGTCACTCAACGAGGAAATGGATTTGGCGACCCTGTGCTACGAAACGTGCTGGAAGCTGGCCTGTGAAATTGGATACGCTGTCAGGCACATTAAAAAGTCTTGCGAACTAGGCCATCCTGGAGTATTGTCGAGTGCTGCGTTCGATGAGTCAGCGCGATGGAGTAGGTGTAGTAGAAAAACACATTCGTTGCAGAGTGGAAGGCATGCCAGGTGGTGGGACTGCGCTGGCAGCTGAAGCAGTTGGCAGTGGCTGCGCCGGCCTAAGCCAAGTCCGCAAAGTTACGAGCAACTGACGCTGACAAGCGCGCCGCGGCTGACGAGGGACAAAGAATCTGCATCTACGCAGGAAGCACGGCGACAGTCCACGAATGTGCATGCTCTTCTTCAACATATGCGAGCCTACGAGCCAAAGCTGTCACTTCGCTTCACATCCAGGTCCGCAAAGATCACTTGAACAGACGCAACCGGAAGTCAAACGTGGGAGCTCGCCCTTAAATGCCGAATCCTTACACCCGCCCAAGACCCTCCAAAAGTTCAGTCTGCCCCGATATGAAGCCAGATATGAAGAGTGCTTCGAGATTGGGCAAGCCACTCGTTATGATCTGAAGCAGACCGTCACCGTCACGGACTTGGTACGAGAAGAGCACCAGAATATCAGCGCTTGGAATCGAGCTTTCATGAAAGAGACCACCGCAGAATGGCAGGCTTCTGCGCTGGCGGAAGAGACGAAAAGCACGGGACACTCAAGGCTTGAAGACATGAGTAGCATGAACGCACGAGCAGGATGAACACACGACCAGCACAAACACACGAGAAGCATGAAGACACTCGAAGCATGAAGACATTCGAAGCATGAAGACATTCGAAGCATGAAGACATTCCAAGCATGAAGACATTCCAAGCATAAAGACATTCCAAGCATAAAGACATTCGAAGCATGAAGACATGAGCAGCATGAAGACATTCGAAGCATGAAAACATGAGCAGCATACCCACATACAAAGCACGAAGACATTCAAAGCTTCAAAGCACGAAGACACGAGCAGCGTAGACACATGAACAGCATGGGAATATGAACAGCGCAGAAATATGAGCAGCATGGAGACATTACCAGCGTGGGGGCATGGCATCACCAGCATAAAGGAAAACATGAACAGGCAACATAGTGCACTGATGGCGCTCTCGTGAATTCAATACGACCGTCATGGATCGTTACAGCTGTTGCCTCTCGTCCATATCGTACTTTCTGCTGCTTCTTTTCTTCGCGATCATCCGCAAATCTGGACCTGCCGGACTTCTTTGGGTGCTGTTCTTCCTTTAGTGGCATCTGGCATCTCGTGGACACCGGTGGCTGTGGTAGTGCTTGTTGATGCTTGCTACGTGCTCCGCGACAAGTAACGGAATGCAGGCGCCGTAGTTGATAGTCTCTGAGATGGCGGTGGTATCAATGAAGCCGGAGCTCAAAGGAAAATGCGGGACTCTGGACGCAGACACAGGCTGCAAATTGGAGGCTCTAGATTGACACAATCACCCGCAACCTGCTCGGAAACACGCTGCCCTGCGCCAGGAAGTCGAAGCGCTCTGGTTATGCGCGTCAATCTCGCCAGAGGTAGGCATCCTAGGTGGAGTGCTGAAAGCGGACACCTCATCTCGGTCTGGATGCTGGGGTCTCTGTTTGAAATTAAGCAGGACCCAGGCCAAGTAGTGTGCAAGTTATCTCCACCGCCCCAATTGCCGGCTACATTCGCCAGTCGAACGCCTACCCTGGGTTTGCAGAAAGTGAACCAGACTGGCTGCCTAGATGACTTCCGAGATTCGCATGAACGCTACTTCATACTAGCCTCATCACTCTTCATCCCGCCTGACGGACGTCGAAAAGAGCTCCGAGGATCGCATTAGCAGCCGATGCAGAGCGGGTGTCCATAGACGTTTGGGGAAAGCAGCTCTTCGTAGTCGTCTTTGACTTCTCGCGTAGGCTCTCGTGGACAACGTCGCTGACAGGGATGCAGTCACCGAGCTGTCGTCCAAGACTCGAATGTCTGCAACCAGCTTTTCCTACGCCAGAGGTGGCGTTGGTGAGTATGGCCATCAGCACATACTGTAATGATCGAGGGCAGGAAAGCGTTTTGCTGGTAGCTCATTGAATGCAGTCTATACAACGCATAGGAGCTTCATATTCCAGCCAGTCCCTGTGCGTGCGACCGTCTAACAAAATTGTCGAAGTCTTCGAGATGCAGGTCTGCCGGAATCTAGGAAGAACCTCAAATGCTCATGGCCGGTAGTGAGCTTCCGAGAGAACACGAGTTTAAGCAGCTGTTGGCGCATCGGGGAGTTGGGGATGATATGTGCGCAGATGTGGCCTCCGAGTCGCTGTTGCATATGCTCGAAAGCCGGCGCTCACAGAATGATTGCAGCGCTTGTGAACAAATGCAGCATCAATGTTTTCCATAACTGGACTGCCTTAAAGTGCACAAGCACGGCGGTGCTTCCAGACGCACTTGCTTCCACTCCTTAGTTGTCACGGATTTCATGACAACCAAGCGCCAAGCCACGCCCGAAGCCACACAACCTTCCACGTTACATGAAATGATGAAAATCGACAGTGAAGCTTTCTACGACTGATCTCCTACACGTCACGATCTTGGGTTCATGAGCGAATCACCTGGCTGCTTGAATATGCTACAAGGCATGCTCCCAGTGGAACATGGCACAATGCATCACGTACAAGTGTGGATTCCCTCGACCTAGGAAGGCATAGAAGTGATCTCTTGTCTCAACACCGGCTGGACATTTCAAGTGGCTGCTGCCGACCCCAATGATGTCTGCAACTACCATCACGTCGAATCACAGGGTGCTCTAGGCAGAGATGAGTCAAATGTACATCGCAGCGACATGGATCTCATAGAGGCGGGCACGCGCAAAGCCGCTTTCATGAAGCTAACAGCTAAGCATAATAGCGATACCCATCCTGTAAAGCGGCCTACTACTTTTGAGTGCCGGACCACGCGACACCTGCGATGATACCGAGGTCAGGAAGAGTCAGACGCGCACACTGCGCCATTCGCGGGCCACCACGAGACCATCTATCCGCACAAAATTTTGGATTTAAACGCGTGGCCAACACAATGTATGCCGGCTATGGAGATCTGGCGAGTATGACGTTGTCTTTTCGCCACTTTTTCCAGCACAATCCCGGCCTCATTGGCGTATTCTCGAAATCCTTCTCCCTTTATTGCCCCATATTTGATCAGAATCTCTAGCGATGTCATGTCGTGGATCGTGAAGACCTGGTCACGGCAGTGACCGCAGAGGAGGCTTTTTATGCCGGAACGTCCCTTCTGGTCGGAGGAAACAGCAATGTCTGTCTTTGCGAACCTTGCAGGACTTGCACTCGCTCTTGAACCAAGTCCTGAAACCAGGCCGTAACAGATTGATTGATGCTGGACATTTTTCATCGCACTTCAAGTCCGGTCCGGCATTGATAGCAGTACTATGGCGAGCTGCTTCTACATCTAGTCCTTGGTCGTATTCTGGCAGCTGGCATGAGCAGTTTGCCAGGCAAGTTCGCTCGCTAGGTTGCCTAACGTGCCAGAGCGTCCTTCGGGCGACATTCTGCGCGGAAATCGCACGTGCAGCTCACTGGATAAGCCTCGACTAGATAGACCTCACTAATGTCGAACAATGTCTTGTAAAGAGATTCGAACTCATCGAAGTTGGGTTTGAACTGTCTCTTCTAGAGGCTCTTTAGGGACAGAGTAGAGATCCGGGTACTATAAACGATTACGATGCCGGCACCGAGCGACGGTAGAGACAAAAGCAAAGGCAAAGCTAGGAAGGTAACTAACAATCTAGCGCGAAAGCTATACGGATATATAGGAAAGAGGATATAGGCTCTAAAGACTACTTCGTAGATATAGTCCTACTACTAGCGAAGAGATTCGGGTACTATTATTAAGACTAGATCGTCGTTAACCCCTTTATAGTGTTTAATAGTATTAGTATTAAGTATAGCAGTAGTAAGGTCTCTAGTAGTTATTATTTAAATACTATTACTATAAATACTATTAGACACTATTATACTATAAGGTCGAGATTATAGGCGATCCCTTTCTAGTCTTTAACGAGATTAGCGGAGAGCTTAGTAGTAGAAAGGTTACCGGTATTTACTATATTAAGTAGTAGTATTATTAATAATATCGGAAACGGCTATAGTAAACTCCTCTCTTACGGCTTGCCTTTCTTCTATAAATGTTTTATAAACCCTAAGCTAGGTAGGGCCTTAGTAGTTAGATCCGCTACCCTTACCTCTTCCTAGATCCCGTCTTATATAATTTCCTCGCGATTAATATACTCGCGATAAAGTTATACCTATACCTAATATTAACGTATAATAACTACGTACTTTATGTTTATTACGTACTTAGTAAAATTATATCGAGGGATAATATACACTATACGAAATTAATATTATTACTCTACTAAGACGATATTCTCTCTACTCGGAGTAAATATTAAATTATATCCTCTAGATGGGAGTCGCTATATTAATAACTTATTATCTCTAAAATAAATTCTACAATAATAAAAAGAGCTAGCGGTATTCTAATACCTACCGCCGCGTTATATCTATCTTCTCTTCGAGGTCGTTATTGTTTTATAGTTTTAATATTCGTAAACTTCTAATCTTTTACTAATAAACTATAGTAGCGGTATTAAAAATATTAGACTTTTTTTCATTTACCGGGTAGTAACTGCTAGTAACTATTACCTTTTTAATAATAGTTTAGAATTCTTCCCTTTTTTTATTTTTCTTCCTTCTCTTTATTTTTCTTCCTTCTCTTTATTCTTCTTCCTTCTCTTTATTATTCTTCCTTCTCTTTATTATTCTCCCTTTTCTTTATTATTATTCTTCTTTTTTGCTGTTCTTCTTTATTATTATCGTCTTTATTATTATTATTATTATATTTTTATTGTTATTCCTTTTTGTTAGGGTAGTTAAGTAACCTACTTTAAGAGTATAAAGTTATTAAGAAAACGATATAGTATAGGAGTAACGAGTAGGTCGTAGGTAGAGGTATATATATAGGGGACTATATACTATATGCCTAGTATTTAATAGCGCTTAGGTAACTGCGAGGGGTCGGCGTAGCATTATATATTTCTAAGACGAAGTATTATAAATATTTAAGAGAAGATGATAATCGTAGAGGAGGCTATATTATAGCTAGATAAGATACATTCCTTATATCTATCCTTCTATATATTGTCGTAGTTGTCTATCCCTATATATATATATATATATAACCTAAGAAAGGAAAGATATAAAAGTGTATACCTATACTAAGCCGGGTTTCCCTACTATATTTTCCCTCCCGGACTAAGAAGTCTACCCTTAGACTAATGCTTTCTTACCTCCCGGACTAAGAAACCTTAAATATATAAAGGAACTAAATTAGTTACCCTACGAAGGTATCCTAGCTAGCTAGCTACTATAGGCCTCTTACTTATTTCTTCCTACTACGAACCGCTAGTCTACTATAGTTTCCTCTACGACCCTACCTATTATAGTTTCCTCTACGCCCTTACTACTTAAACTAGTCGATAAGAGCCTAGGTCCGCGTCGCCTTAGCTCGTATATCCTAGCGAGTCTATCGCTTATTCGGATTCGCTATAGGGTTTATAGGCTGCTTTAACGAGGATAGCTAAAGAGGCTGCCGCTTAGGAGTACTAAGCTATTAGGGGTTAACGTTTAGGAGTATCCTACTAGGAGTAGAGACTTTCGAAGGGTAGGTAGTAGGTTTCGCTAAGGGAGCGCTAGATTACCGCTAGTTAGGAGGAAGGTCCGCCTTACTAGGCTCCTATTAGTATATAAATCCCTAGCCTCTCTAGTCGAACTCCTCCCTAGAGTTAGGCGTAGGCTAGTATCTATAGAAGTTATCCTAGTTTAGGCATATATACCGATCCTCGCTATTATTTAGGATATAGCTCTAATCTTTTAAAGACTATATAAGAGCCTTAAAGAATAATTTCTCTCCGAAACGTTCCTACTCGAGCCGAATAACCTTACTTATTATTTCAGAGTATACTAACGCTATATCCTTGCGATACTACTTTAAATAGTTCTTAAGTATATAGGAGGAGCCTTCTTAATTAAGGTTACGAAAGAGTCTTCGAATATACTATTATACTATAGTGTTATCCTATTTTAACTAACCGACGAGGGCTTCCGAGATTAGGTTATTATTACGTAGGCGCACTATAGCTAGGAACGCGTATAGAGGGGCACTATACTTGTTCGTAAGACTAGAGGGTAAGGTAGGACTAGGAAGAAGGTCTCGGTAGGTAGCGGCAAGTTCCTAGAAGGTACCTCTAGCTTCGTAATCGAGCTTTCTAGTCGTTAAGTCGTATCGATAGAACTAGGGGAGCATAGTTATCCTCTTAGTATTCTTTAGTAATGCCTAAGCGCTATATAGAAGATAGGGAAGGGTTAATCGTACTCTAAGGGTACCGACCGGATATTGCTCCTAGCCTACGTTTCGATATTTGCCTTTTAGCTCGTTCTTAATAAAGCTATTAAGGGTATTCTCTATCTTAGTATTTAGGTAGTGTATATTATAGTTAATAGAGAGAATATAACCTCGAGGGGCGTATATAAGGCCTTTTTCCTAGCGAAGGATCTTAAGTTCCTTATACTACTTATTAAAGACGTCTAGTTAGTAGATCCTAGCGAAGACCTTCGTAGTAGTCTCTATAGTTTTAGGAAGGAAGGATACGGAACCTTAAACTTAGTTTATAGTAATACCTTCCTAGAGATCGAGAGGGTATTAGTTAATATAGGCAAACTCGGTCGAGCTACCGTTACTAGGTTGAGTTATCTTAGCGTAGTACGGATAGGAGATTAGGTTAAGAGCGTAGTTAGGGCGAGTAAGGCCGTAGAGGAGCTAGTAGACGGGGTCTCCTTAGTAGATCTACTAGAACCTAGAATAGAAGGCGGTTCGAAGCTAGCCCTTATTCGAAACTCCGTTAACCTTACGCTAGTACTATAAGTATATTATAGCCTCTAGTTTAAACTAGTTAGATAGGGATGTCTTTCCGAAGGGTAGAGGGGCCGCAGCGACTTCGACTTTCTTATTATCGTACTAACTAAAGACGGCCGCTCTATATAGCTCGGTAGAGCCCTTATCGCTTATAATACTATCTAAGGTAATAGTACTATCCCTTACCTAGGTATCCTAGCTAGCCTTAGTTATTACTCCTATACGGGAGAAGGCCTTACAAATCTTAGTAGCGATCGCTAGGGTAATACGTTCGATAGTTAAAGGGCTATATATCTTACTCTCGTAGCTATAGGCCTTAGGGAAGAAACGATATAGTCTAAGGTAGTCGCTAGGGATAGGAGGGCGGCGAGTCTTCCGAAACAAATCGGGTCGCTTATTCCGAAGGCGGAGAAGGTCGTTCCGGTACTTATATCTAGGGCCGCTTAAGGTTTCTATTATCTAATCCCGACTAATCTTCCCTCGGAACCTAACTACTATCCTAAACAGATAGCAGGTATAAGTATAGTAAGGCGGGTAAGGGGTAGTTACAATAAGGGCAATCGCTCTCCCCTATATAGCGTTATTAGATTTACTATCGTACTATATTAAGGCACTACGGTCGGCTTTAGAAAATCTATTATAGCTATAGTAGGCTAGGTTGTTTCTAATCTAAGTGTCTTTATCGTAGGTTAGCTCCTTATAGTATATAGTACCTCCTCGCTTAGGTCCTAAGATATCGAGGTCGTCTATTAGGTTCTCTTTAAGAGATACGGCAAGGTCTCTACCTAGCTTATTAAGTCTACTCGATCTACGAGTTCTACCGAGAGGGGGGATAGGCGTAGTAGTCCTAGACCCCGCGGTAGTCCGGGTTAGTTTAGTTTAGTTTACTAAGGAACCGGTATACGGACCGGTTTGCCGGCTACGTACCGGCTACGGACAAAAACCCGACCTAAAACACGTCTAAATAGCCCGAAATACAGATACAACCGTATAGCGCATATAATATAGGGCCTCCGGACTAGATCCGAGGTCGTCGTATATCGTCGTATATCGTCGTATACCGTCGTAGTTTAGTCGGATTTTCTCGGAAACCGGCTTAGACTAGCGGGGTAAAAAACCAAACCAGAACTAAACTAGAGGGGTACCGCTAAGAAACTAAACTATATACGTTCTATAGTTCGCAAACCGAACTACTACGGGGTCTAAGTAGTCCGAATTCGACGAGTAGGCGGAGCCCCTAGAGCAAGGCTATTATTGCTACTCCTACTACTAGTTCGATCGGGTAGTAAAGTAGAGTTTTCGACTAAGAGATTAGAGCGAGTCGTATCGCGTTATAGAGGCGTGTTTTATCGAGAGCCGATAGGCTAAGTAGGGCGAGCGGGGGATAGCTACTAGTTATTTAGTCTAGCTAGAGGGTCGCTAGCCGGGTTATATATAACCGGTAATCTAATAGGTATACTAATTCGCTCGTATATACCTATATAGGACCGAGGGATATTAAGTCCTAGGGTCTTAGACGCGGTACCTTTAACGTAGCTACCTAGCGGTCTCGGAAAAGGGCGCCTATCGGAAGTAATAGCAATTATAGGAGGGCCTTCGTACTAGCTAATTTAAACACCGATAGCCTTAAGCTTTGCTTTACTAGCTTCTATCTTCTAGGGGAAGAACTTATTCTTACCCTCCTTACGAGTATCGTCTTCCTTATCTACTACGTAATCCTTAGCGGTAATAGTAACTATATTAATATCTACCCGTCCCTATCTTGCTCTACGTATTCGACGATATAAGTAATTGCTTAGGATACGAAGGACTAGCTAAAATTCGGTAACCTAGCTAACGCCTTTAAAGTTTACCTAGCTATTAAGTTTTCTATCTTTCTATAGTCTAAAGACTCGAGCTATCTCTTTAGCGGTATTACCTCGGATATTATAGAGGTCTAGGTAATTCCTAAAGAATATAGGGCTATTAGTAATATCGTTCTTACGGCGATCCTCTATAGCCTTTCCGCGAGTAGCGGCGGCTTATAGGGTAGTAAATTCGTTACCTATATACTACTCGAGGGCCTATACTATAGTAGATCCCTAGGTACGAAGAATATCTCCTATTTCCTTCGGTAGCCCTTTAAAGAGCGCCTCTTTAAGCCGATAATAGGTTAGCTCGGTACCTTTAATAAAGTTGTTAACACTCCCTAGATTGTCGTAGATTATATCTACTTTAGTTTAGCGGGATAGGTTAGCGGATTAAAGATACTATACCTATTCGAGCGGGGTATTATAATTGCTTAGTCGCTAGTCGGTAGGAAGGTAGGAAATACTACTATAGGCTACGCTCGTAATAAGGTCTCGGCTAGAGGCTTCTACTATTACGCTCTTACGAGGCGTTAGGGAGAATTTGCGTATCGGATCGCGTAGAGGAGGTAAGGGCTTGTCGGTCTTTAATAGCTAATTAAGGAGGGTAGTATTTACTATAGGCGCCTATCGCTTTATCGAGAGAAGGGCGGTATAGGTATATTTGTTTATATAGAAGTTTAGATACGAGAAGGATCGCCTTTTTGTCGTAGTAGTAGCGCGGGTATACGGGAGGGGGCGGGAGGCACCTGCCTTACGCGTATACGCGCGTTTATATATAAATCCGAAACTAAGGTACGTATCCTAAAGGAAGTAAAGTGTTAGTAGTAGGTAGCGGTAACATTTCTAGAGGCCTAGGTAATTCGAGTAGTAACGAGATTCGAGGGTATAAGGCTAGAGCACTCAGATCTAGGGAGTTAATTATTGTATAATATACTAACCCCTCCGCTCTAACCCCTACCGTATTAAGGTATAGTTATAAGGGCTCCTCTAGGTAGTATAGGGTAGCGGTAGTAGTTATAATATATCCTAGCTAGCTAGCTACTATAGGCGGGAGCTCCTAAGATTCCTAGAAATCTCGATATATCGGCCGATACAGGCTACTAAAATAATGTAAAGGAAAGGCTTTTGAATAAAGGAAATCTTCGAGGGTAGGTAAGGTTTTTCTAGATTTACCCTGTAGAGTAGACTTCGGTTTTACCGACCTAGGCGCGACGTAGAGCTTCTAGTAGGTGTATTTTTACCGAGTTAAAATTATTTGCTCGCTCCGCGGGTAGGCTAGTACTTAGACTACCCCGGGGAGTAGGTCTAGGGATATTATTAAGGACGGGGGCTCCTTACTAAAGCCCCTACCCTTAGTAGTAGTAGTATAAAGAAGAAAAGAAGCAACGATAAGGCTCTAGTAGTAGTACTCTATCCGGATACTAATGTATAAAGGGACAATCGATCTTAGTATACGTCGATAATCCGTTTAAGTACGCGAATAAGGGTACTAGCGAGTAAAAAAAATCAATATAAGGCGAGTAAATATAAGTAAAAAGGAGGATAAACGTAAGTAGTCGTAGGCGATTGCGACTCTAGTTAGTAGTTTAGTAGGCCTACTAAGGTAGTAGTAGTCCTATTTTATTATATTCTATAGCCTACTCCGCTTCTAAGGGTTCGTCGAAAGCTCCGGGGTTCGAATCTAGGCCCTTAGAGTTAACGGTATAGTAGAGCTCCTCCTATTCGATCTAGGTAAGCCGAAGCCTATCTCGTATCCTTATTAAGGACAACCTATATTCGTTGTCTCCCTAGTTTGTAACGTTGTCTATAGCCTCCTAGGCGAGAAACCTAATACCTCGTCGCCTATATAGGTTAGTATATACTAGGGTAGCAAGGCTAGTTTCTACTAAGGCCTTAAGGAGATATAGGTTGTATTCCCACTTTAATATATTTATTTCGTCGTAGACCTATACCCTCTAAGTTACCTACTAGCTAGGGTCTTGCTATAGTACTAGTCGAACCCTAGGGTCCTAGGTAAGCCTCGGAAGAGCGCTAACGTAGTAGGCTTGTTCGTAAAGGTCCTTCCTTCTATATAGAATTGCTATCTATCCGAACCTATAGTACTAAGCTAAAGGCTAGGTTACCCCTCCCTAGGTAAATAGGGTAGGGTAATTAAAAGCTAGAAAACTATTAGGCTCGGTCGAGCTATTAAAGAAGAGACAGTTATTCGAATAGTCCTCGATAAGGGATACGCTAAGAAGATCTCGCGTTAGGTTATTAATCTAAGAGATAGGATTAACTTTAGGGTCGACTCGGTATATAGCTATAGTATAGGCTTTAAAGGCTCGCCTTTACTCCTCCCTAGGAAGGGATATAATAGTATAGACGTCTATATCCCTTTCTTTACCGGAACTAGTCTTAGATTAGCTATCGTCCCTAGACGCGAAGGACTTAGACTAGCTATCTCTATCTACCTCGACTTCTTTATTAATAGGTTCGTCGTTCGTTATACTAGCGTTTTCCCCCGAGAGCTGGTTAGGTCGGAAGGGAGGTACTTCCTTTAACCGATCGCGTAGAAGGGTAATAGCTAGATTAGCTCTATTAAGTTCGGTAAGGTAGTATAAGGTTCTAGAGGTAGTAATTTCCGTAATACGAAAGGGGCCCTTCTATCGAAAAGCAAGCTTACTAGACCTTAAGTGCTCGATATCGCTCCTAGTAATAAGTATAAGGGAGCTAACCTTAAGAGGAGCGTTTAATACTGCTCCTTTCTTATCGTACTAGCGAGTATTCTCCTCGCGGGTCCTCTTTAGCCGGAGGGCCGCTTCTTCGTTATCGTTAGGTATATATACTAGTTGCTAAGCACGGTATATAAGTAATAAGGCAGTATTACGTATAGTATCCTAGTCGACTATTTAGAAGGTTCTATAAGTACTCTTAATAGGAAGTATAATATCGGCCTCTTTATATATAATCTTTATATACGTTTTATTAGTCGTTCGTCGGTATATTATTCGGTTAGCCTATAGGACAGGTAGGAGGTATTTTCTCTAACCTTTTATAGTGCTATTTATTAGTTTAGAAAGGGTAGCTAGGATAGGTCGGTTTCTAACTTCGATCTAACTATTTGCCTTTAGGTAGTATAGGGAAATCCGGACTCGGTACGTAGCTATTCGTTTAAGCAATCCTTTAGTATCCTTTCGAGTTTTAGATCTATTATCTATAACGAATTCGTCCGGGTAGCTATATCGGTAGTAGACCTCTTTATATAGGAACTTAGCTATTTAGTTTATAGTAACCGACTTGCCCGAGTAATTAAATATCCTCCCCTTAACCTAGCCGCTAACAACCTCGCGTACTAGGGCAATAGACCCCTTATTGTCGATATAAAGTATATCGGCAACCTAGCGACGGCTAATAACCCGAATATAGGTAGGGTAAAGCGTTCTAGCAATCCTATACCCTTCTCGTATCCGGTATACTCGATAGGATCGAACCTATATAGCGATCTAGGACTATATACTGTGCTAGAAGTACCTTTTTAAAGCTAGATAGTATACTGCCTCCCGGCCGTTATAGCTATAATCCTTATAAAGTAATTAGATTATTTCCTCTCGGACCTTCGCGCTATTAATTACTCGTTAAAGGGGGCAATTCGGGTACCGCTAGTAAAATAGGAGCCGATCTTTAATAATATATTTCTAGGTAGCTCGTCGGACCCTCCGAGCTTCGCTACGGGAGATGCCCTATAGAAAACGAAGAGTAGACTTAAAGTATCTAATAAGAAGCGATTCTCGAGACTAATATTCGTCCTCGTTAAGGAAGCTAGACTTAGCTAGGGGATCGATAGGCTCGGTCTAGACTATACTATAAAAGAAGTCGTTATCGATTATATTATCGTCGTCGATTTAGTTATCTCGCTCGGCGATATCCTCTTTAGTAGAATTACGACGGGATAGCCTATTAGCCGTAGAGTACTTCCGCCCGGGAATATATTTAACCTCGAAATCGAATAGTCGGATCTAGGCTACCTAGCGAGCTATTACCGAGTTAGGGAGATCCGAGGCTAACTTATTAAGTTAGTAGATAAGGGTAGTAGTATCGATTTCGATCCGAAAGTACTACCTAACGAGATACTTCTTAAACTTCTTTAGTAGTTTAAGTACGGCAAGGCATTCTCGTTTGCTAGCGTTATATCGGGCCTTACTATTAGTCTAAAGACCGCTTTCGTACCGAATAGGGTAACGCTTCTTTGTATTGTCCCTTTCGTATTAGTTTAGGCTACTACTATACCCGGACCTACTCGTATCTAAGAGAAGGACAATTAATCTAGTACCCTTAGTATAGTTAATCGAGATAAGAGTAGGGGTAGTAGTTAGTATAGCTTTTAAAGTATCTATAGCGACTTGCTAACCCGGTCCCTAAGAAAATTCGATATCGGCCTTTAGGAGATAGAAGAGTCTTCTTACTATTATTACGAAGCCTTCGATCTAGATATAGTAGTAGATACAAACTCTAAGGAAGGCCTATACGCCTAAGTAGTTCTTAGGTACTAGCTATACGATAATCTTTATAACCTTCTCTATATTAGGGTATCTCCCGGAGATATTAATAACGTAGCTAATAACCTTTAGCTTTTTATAGAGGAATTGAGATTTTAGGCCTAAAATAGTATATCTAGTACGCTCGATATCTGCGAGAACTCTATCTATCTATTAAATATACTTAGTAACGAACCTTCTTAAGCTAGGTTCGACTTCCTTATTATTATATCGGGTCTTCGGACCCTTAATACTAATATCGTTAACGAAAGGCCTCGTACGGTAAGAGATATAATCGAAAAGGATCCTTATAACTACTCGGACAAACTAGGTAACGGAGTTTGTTACTCCCTACGGAAGGGTAGTTATCCGTATAAGGCTAAGCGGGGTATTAAAGGCAGTTATATCCCGATCGGCCTCGTAAAGTAGGACTTAGTTATACCTAGAGAAGGAATCGATTAGGGACGAGATAGTATAGTTAGCAAAATCCTCTATAAAGCTATTAGTATTAGGAGGGAGGTTTCCGTCCTATATTATATAGCGGTTTAGTTCTATAGTAGCGTTAATTAGGCGATACTTTTTAGTTCCCTTCTTCTAAACTAAGAACTAGGGGTTTCGGTATACCCCTTCGCTAACTTTAAGTACCCTATTCGCAATTCGCTTTCGGATTATTTCTTCTATAATGTTTACTAAGCTAGGCTAGAGGCGGAAAGTTAGGTTTCTCTAGGGCTTATAAGGAATTGTTCGGATCTGTTAAGGAGGTACTACGTCCGCGTCGACTCTTCTAATTTTAGTAAAGCTCTAGGTAAGGGCTTTCTCCCTATTATAAAGTATCTCGTAGAATAGATCTAGCTCTTTAGGAAGAAGCTCTATTCTAATAAGAAGCTTTGCTTTCCTTTCTTTAGTAAGACGCGAGCCGCGTAGTATATCTAAGAACTTCTTAATTAAGTACTTCTAGTTATATAGCCCGGTTCTAGGCGGAAGCAACGCTTCTCGAGCAAGCCGTTTCTTTTTCTAGTAAGGGTTACTACCGGTTGTTATACTTCCGGTTACTATAGTACTAGCCTCTATAGGTCTTACTTTGTCTACCTTCTTCTTATATATTCTATAAACCCCGACCGTACGGTACCTACTAGTCTCCGAATCTTCCTTAAGCATCCTCTTAAGAGATAGGAGCTAGGTAGGGAACCTTCGAAAACTCTAAAATCTATAGTACCGCTTATACTATTCGTAAAACCTATTCGCTTCTAACTATTAAAGTATTATAGCCTAATCGTCTCGGGTTATAGGCTCGAGAATTGCCTCTATACGCCCGAGCCGGATAAGGCTAATCGTTAGATATAGCTAGGAAGGATTTTTAAGGAAGGACTAGCGCTATATAGCTAGGATCGGTACGTCGTCGTATACCCGCTCCTAGATAGGGTAGCTAGTTAGGCGGCCTTTATATAGGCTACAACTAGAGGGCAGTTATAGGGATATAGGGATGCCGGGACCGCCGGAATAAGCCGGGGCTAGTTTAAGCGAGGTCGGAAAAGATAGCGGAAGTAGGGGCGGGCCGGTTACCGGACTAATTAATATACCCTAGCTAGCTAGCTAGTATACCTTACGGCTACCGTTATTTTCGCTATATAGTTCTATATTAACATTTCTTATTAAACAATAAGTTATAACGGTATATATAATACCTCTACCTAGCGGTTTCGAAATTAGGGCAGACTCGACGCTAGTTTCTCGTCCGCTACCTAGTTTTTCAACTACTAGGTATTATTGCGACTAAGGAGCTCCTTAAGTAGGATATAATTCTTAGAGCTAGTAAGGGTAGTAAAGGTAGTAGAGCGGCCTCCGCGCGTAGAGATAGTCCCTTCCTAGGAGCCGTCGTCTATATTTCGAGCGATAAGGCGGTTCTTACGAGCCTAAGGGCGACTAAGGATAATAGGGAGGTCGTTATCTCCTAGGGGTATAACAAGGAAATCGGTTTTATACTCGATATTAAAGGTTGAGATAGGAACGGAAGTACTAATACTAATAAATTTAGCTCTTCCTCTAGCTCCTCGTATATTTAGAATAAGACCTTTTAAAAGAGCAAGGCTAGTACGCTATAGGAACTTCGTATTTAATATATTCCCCTCGGAGCCTTTATTAATAAGAGCGCGGATCTTAAGGCACCTATTAATAGTAATAGTAATATACGGGCTAGGAACAAGGACGAAGTTATCGTTAACTAATAAGAGGCGTATTTAGCTAGGGTCGATATAGAGTATTTCGTTAGGAAGGGTATCTACCCTAGACGAAATAACCTATATAGCGTAGTAGTAAAGTCTGTTTCTCCGGCTTATCGAATCGGGGTCCCGGATAACCTCTTCGTTAGCTGCCTCGTATTCCTCGTAGCCCTATTCTTCGTTAAGGCTAGTAAAGAATTCCCGGGCAGAGGTAAGGACTAGAATAGGGTAGTCTTTAGATCGTCTAGGTCTAGTTTTCCTAGTAGCTAAGGTAGCTACCCTACCTGCTATCTCTATAATCTAGTACGGAATCTTATCGGTTTTATCCTTTTCTAGCTCCCGAATTCTTAAAGCAAGCGCATTATCGTTTAGCTAACGGGCAACGAGCTTTTAATATTCCGGAATATAGGCGAGGGCCTTAGTATTGCTAAGCTATATTCTATTTCTACTAAGGAATTTCTTTACCTAAAAGTCGGGGTCCTTATAATGTTTCTAAAGATTCTTTATAATTTTAGTTGTCTTAGGCTCCTTTCTTATAGCTCTCTACCGGCTCGGAGGGTTTACCCCTTTCGATAGCTCTTTAGCGGTAGGTCTCGGGGTAGGCGGTAGTACGTTATCTATTTCTAAGTTACTATCTTTAGATAGGCTAGCGTTACTATTTAAGGATTTAGCCGTAGGCTACCTATAGGTACTAGAAGGGCTAGTAGTAGGGGGGTTACGACTAACCCTTTCCTTAGACTAGGCTCTTAGAGGTAGTAGGCTCGGGGACCTTTAAGTAGCTC